TTGGTCGTTTCGTTGCTGAGCTCCCTTTTGACTCGCCCAATTGAGCTGGGTGGACACTGCCAGGCGTTCAGGATAAGTACGTCCGGTATGAATCTGCTGGCGACATGGTAGTTGGTCGTTTCGTTGCTGATCTCCCTTTTGACTCGCCCAATTTCGCTGTATTACCGCCTTTTTTTTGATATTCAAAGTGGTAAAAACGACGAAAGGGTGGTGCTTCGACAACGGATTAAAGAAGCTATGACTTCTATTTTTCCTGGAGTGCCATCAAATTTGAGTAGCGTCTGCCAGTTTTGCTTCGCTTCTTTGCTTTACCACAGAACCTTTCTACTGAAAACGCTACCTTCAACCCATTTACTTTTTGCCACACCAGTGTTTAGTTCAAGCAACGAGTCGCAGCTTCAATGGCTGCGAAAACCGCGTTGTTTGTCGAAACCTTAAGGAAAATGATATCGTTTCCCCCAGTGGAATTCCGGGTTTGATGGTGGAGCTAGCACATTACAAGTCCGAGATGGTTAAAATGCGCGAGGAGTTTTCTCAGGCGTTTGAAGCAGCTCTCAAGCGTCATATTAATGGCTCTGTAATGACCATGGAAGCGTTGGATGCAGCATTTTCATCTGTGTTAGCTCGATCTAATTTGGTACAGCACAATTTGCATTTAGTGCAGTCGGCACTGGATAATACCAACGCTACATGCATTGACCAAAGCAATGGCGTCCGATCTGAGCTTATTGTATGGGATGGCACATTCCATCGAGTAGCGAAGGGTTTTGTGCTACCATCAGGAATTGTACGAGTTGTTTGGCAGCGGTGGTGTGGTGGACAGCCTCCACTGAGGCTTCTGACGAAACACGACATGTCTTCGAGACTCAAAAAGGTGAGACTGTCGGATCTAAGGCGTGTGATGCTGCTAATCGAAGCACTTCTGACACAAGAAGAATTTAAGCGAGTTCATAGCTCTTCTGATGCAGCAGGGCTTTTATTCGAGCAGATTAAAAACCGTCTTCTGTTCGCGTCATCTTCAGGTAAGGGGAGGAGACGAAAGTTGGATCAGTTGTCGTGGCGAACGTTAGCACACGAGCTTAAGGCACTAAATAATTAACCTCTTGCCTTTTATCCAGTTGCATTGTTTGTTTGTCGTTCAAAATTATTATAGTGCAAACTGCACGGCGATTTATAGTACATCTTTGCATGTCAACGCTTATACTAGACTTTTGTATACCAGCCATTTTCGCATGTTGGGAATTCACCGTGCATTTTGCACGGCGATTTGTTTAGAAACCGCCAGATTTGTACGGCGTTTTCTCTAGAAGTAGCTTTTATCAATATAATTTGAATGTTGTCGCGCGTGCGGTCCCGAAACGCCCTAAGATCCAAAATCGCTATAAGGTGGGCGTCGTCAAATCAACGTCTGTTAGATCTCACGGGTTGAGCGGTTCTGAAACTACCCTAAGATTGAAACGACGTTGCTTTCGCTCTCAGGCGGTCGAGAGGTTCCGTCGCCAAAATAGCACCTGGCCCGAAAAAAGGTTCCAGGATTGTTCTTGGTGGTAAATTACGGTAAGGAAAAAAACTGCCGGCGTAATGTTCTGGATATTACTATTATGTTTTTAAATCTATGTAGTATGACTTTACTATTACTAGTAGAGAGCATCTCTTGTTCGCTGCGCTCGGCGAGTTGCTAAACGGGGCCGACCTCCTAAACTTATGTGGTACACATAATTTTGGACAACGTCCCCCAAAAGAGATCACATTTCATTCCGAGATCGAGAATGGTGAGCAGTGCCTCGACAGATGCTAGTCGGGCCGTGGACGCAGGCAATAGAGGTAAGGATGTGACTGTAGATTGAGTTAAGGACATACTCTCTAACATGCTGATGCTTTGAACGCGTAGCGCAAGCTGGATCTGCTGCGCCAGTGCGAACAAGTAAGTCATGCGCTTTCACTTCAAGTTGGTGTTTTATTTTATTAGTATTTATTGCGTTTTCAAAGGTCAGCGACAGACAGTCAAGCACGTGGCTACGCTACCAAGTGTTGAAGCTGCTATTGGTCTGATGGCTCTGCCTTTGATGGTCGAGGATGGAAAGGCTTCTTCTGGGCTTGGAAGCGCAGCTGGATCCGTTAGCGACGGCGGAAGCAACAGCAGTGGCGAAGGTAGCAAGCGTAGTGTTAAAAGCGCCGAGATGACTGCAAGGGCAGCTCACGCACTTGCGGGCAAGGTCGCCAAGTCGCAGCGCCGTACGTACAAGACTGTTATCATGTTTGGGCATATGTATGGCTTGTTGATGCTAATGTATTGCAGGCCGTGAGGTTTACAAGCTCCGTGTTCGCCAAGCTGCTCATGCGCGCAAGTTCAAGAAGTCCAAGAAAAACTAAGGGATTTCAAGTCACGCCCAACTGCTCGCGCGTAAGTTAATGCGAAAGTTATTCGGGTTTTATGGGCAGTATTTAGTAGGCGTAAGAACGATGAATTGTTCACTTTGTGGTATCTGTAAAAGTAGGATTCCTTCGTAATTTTGCAACATGCAGTTAAGTTATGAGTCAGTTGTTGGTTCTGGTGTGATAGCTATTGTTTTCCAGTTTGACAACCTTATCTTGAGTAAAGTTGTTGCTTTCACCTAGTCAAGAGAAACAATTGCATCACCGCGGTGCCAACGCTCTATTGTGCTGTAATGCCAGTAGCTTCATCGAAGAAATAAGTAATTCAGCTTTTGCTATGGTTGAGCTGACTGCTTGCTGAATTCTTTTTTCTTCGTTAGTAAAGGCCATTCTTTTATCACTCGAACTTTGCAGCTGTTGTAAAGTCACTGGTGCTGTAAGCACAATATCCTCTCGAGTGCGCACTCGCGATAGTACAACGTAAGCGAAAGCTGCGCTAGGAATGGAAAATGAGTGAAAGACGACTTTGTCGCAAGTTAAGCCTTGCACTTTATGAACAGTAAGTGCATATGCAAGTCGTAGCGGAATCCCTTCGCGGAATACTGTAAGATTGCTAGCTTTCTTTCCCCAGCTAACTTTTCTAGGAACTACAGGCACAATGTTTGGTACATCTGGCAAGAACGAGGGCCCCATGTACTCGTCAGAAATCTGTATGAGTATTATTGGCAGCTCCAGCTCATCGGAAAATATTAAGTCGTACACTATTCCATTGGTCCCGTTGCACAGACCTGCTCTTTGTTCCATATTGTAGGTCAGGCTTACCGGAGCACCAATAGCAATTTTGAGACGCCTTCCAACGACACGATCTCTATCTGAGCTGGATGATTCGGCGTCATGTAAAAGAGCTTCGATCGAGCTAGGCGATACGTCTCTGTGCTTAGCTAGTCGCTTTAACTTAACGCTATCTTTAGTGCGAATATTAATTATCTGGTTAGAACAGCTTTTGAGGTTATGGTTATACGCTTCAGCAACTTTGGCATCCAAATACGCTATGTGCTTCGCTTCTACAGCCCAAGTAGGAATTTCGCTGGCTTTGCAGTATCTTGAGTTAAATAAATTGACATCCGCCTGCGTTGGACACTTACTACGAAGACGGCGCAACGCTTCAAACCACTTTGAGTCAGCCTTTCCTTGGTTTTGACTTGTTAATGTGCATACAATCGAAATTCCCTCCCAAATTTCGCGACCTAACACTTGAATAGGACTACTGATTTTAGAGGATGGCGTCGCTAAAGCATGTGGTATTACAGGATCTAACTGCGCTGAGTCATCAGTAAAAACTACATCTCTACCTCCGAAACTTTGATGACTGTGTTGGGGCCATATCTCGCGCATTCTTTGATCGATCCAGTACAACATACCGCACGATATTACACTAAATTCGTCAATAATGACTAGATGTACATCTTTGTATTGTTCTTGAAGACGTTTAAGTTTTGTTGCACCTCCTTTCTGGGTCGTCATAGGTGAATATGGATTCGAGAATGCATTTCGAGAGAAAGAGGTTAGCTCTAATGCCGAACAGATCGTCTGTCCTTTAATATTGAAAGCAGCTGTACCTTGGTGAGCTAATAGTAACAATCGCTTTGAAGTTCGTCGAGTAGCTGAGTGCTCACAAAAAACGTTGTGGACATCCTTAACTATGTGCTTAATGAGCCAGCTTTTTCCACTTCCTCCTTCGCCCTGAATAATCATTTGCATGGGTTCGCAAGTTGCATTATTTACCGATGCTTGAAGCCGAGCACGAGATTGGACCATGGCAAATGCAAATGGTACCCATTGGGATTCATCCATTGCGGCGGTTTGTACAGTACTATTGGCATCGATAATAGGGTACTGATAGCAACTTCCTTTTGGTTTTGAGTAGGCGGTGCTCTCACGAGCTCGACGAATCTCTTTTTGCAATTTTATCCAAGGTTTTATGTGCATTTTGATGAACGTCTTGGCCTTAGTGACATCCTAGCTCGTGTACGATCGCCTACCAGTCCATTGAAACGAACTAGAATCATTAGTACTAGTGCGAATTTCGTTTGTATTGTCGTCGTCTGGTGCAACTAAGCATACCTCATCTTCAGGTCCATCACCTACAAACACGTACTCGGAAGAAGGTAGTGCAGTGTGTACTTGAGCAGCTCTCGATTTTTTTAAGGCGTCAAGCTCGGCCTGCCGAGATAATTTTAGGCTAGATTCGTGGCGGAGCTCACTTTCCAACGCATTTTGCTGCTCCTGCTCAAAAGATTCAATGCATTCATCATCTGTTTGGGATAGTTCTTCTAACGTCCGCCATGGTTTATGGAGAAAGATTTCAGCAAAGCAAAAATTCGCGTTTGTAGAATCCGGTGCGATCCATGGAGTCCCACGAACTACATGAGCTTTGCTACGAAGCTTAATAAACCCGTGGCCATCACATCGCCTCCAACAGTTAGAAATTTCAGCTCTAGTAGGAATACTATCAACCAACTCGTATTTTTCGACGATAGTAGCTAATGTCATGTCATCGAATAGCTCATTACGTGGGCGATTCATATAAGCTTTTTCTACCGGCTCAATACGAATAGAGTCATTGCGGTTTATATTCTCCTCGATATCTAATAGTTCGGAGCCGTCTACTCGGTAATATCTCAAACTATGCCTCATTGTCTTGACTTGCGTAACTTGCCTAGATTTTCCGTAAAGAGGAAGCTCTCTCAGCAAAATATAGTAGGTCTCCTGAGCACTGACTTCACGTATGGACAACGTTGCGTTAGCGACACGCTTTAGAATCGCATAATTCGGTAGGTTAGGATCGCATTTCTTCACCGCTCGAGTAATAACTTGTCGAAATTTAAGTGTATCGGGCTCAGCTTTGCTAACGTACGCGGCAGTATACTCGGCTGCTCCATAGGCGTTGCCAATAAGTTGAATGTCCATGTTAGCTCTCCAAGAAGATAGTAAGACCGGAGAATAGTTGTTGATTGTTGGCACCTCTCGCTTCGATTGAATTTGCATCGATGTAGCTCCGTCATCACCTTTGTTAACATGAACTTGAGTAGTTTTTTTAATCTCTTTAGGATAACCGAAGCGACAAGCGTCCCCGCGTTTACGACAAGAGGATTCAGAAGAGCAAATGTGTTGTTGCACTCGCTGCACTACTCGAGATAGATCACATTCCCACTCTGTCGTAAATGCATCGGGTGGTCTGGCAGTCAAAATATCAAACTCATTTTTTTTTCGGTGCTGCATGTAGTACATGTACAATTTTCTAACTCCTCTGTAGTTTTTGAAAGCACAGATATTACGCTGTCAACATACGTAGCAATACGGGCTCGTCCGAACTCAGTCCGAGAGAGATCTACAATGTCTGGTGCGTCTTTGATCCACAATAATGCATGAATGTGCGGAGAGCCACGGTGCTGGAACTCAACCCGCCAAAAGTAGTCAACTACTTCTCCGAGAGGTTTAGATTTACCACAAATTACATGCTTAAAAAATGAATCGAATCGACGATTAAAATGCTGTGCAGCAATGTCAGGATTCTCACTAAGGTATCGCCTTCGCTCAGTACTCGTCAAAGCTCGGGCTTCAGATAATGAAAGCTCTGGGTTGCAGGTTCGAAAGAAGTCCGGCCAAATTGTATCTGCCGCGCTCAATGTTAGGCAAAACGTTGGCCAACGGGAAGGTAGCACTCGATTTCCGATCATGCTCATCAAATCGTCTCGGGCGTTTGCCCAGTAAAGGTCACTACCACGTACACCTCGAAAAAAAGGCTTCAAAGAGTCTAGTAGCTTCATTGCCGCAGATTTATCAGCCTCAACGCCATCCGAACAACCAATGCTTTGTTCCGTCGAGTCACTAGACTCCCCAAAAGATGGTAAGTTGACACGCTTCACAAGACCATCTATTTGACGCCTTTGAATGAGATTCAGGCAGAAAAACTTAAAATTCCCATGAATCACAAAGCGGCGATCGTGCCATTTCATTAAATGTGCGCAATATTCGGCTAGATTGTAGTTGTGTTCTCTTCCCGACTCATCATTTAGTGGATGTAGACCACCTCGGCCATCGGGGAAAAGCGTTGGGTAGCAGTTTTGAAAAGCATCTTATTAGAATATTCATTTATCAGTTCAGTTTTTCGATCTAGATCCGCTGTCGGATACAATATTTGTCCTGCAGCTCGATTTGCTGCTTTTGCAATCTTCTCAGCCTCAGTTTCGCCATTAGCAGAGTCTGCTTCAAGTTCTACCGATTCCTCAATACTAATCTCCTCATCCCCACTACTGCTGTCATTGTCAATATTAGGCCTACAGGCAACATTGCCTGGGTCACTGGCATCGCTGTCAACTCAGCAGTTAGCAGTAGAAGAAGGACCGTTCTCATGCCGCAGCTCTCCAGCTTCTTCTTCGGTAATTGGAACTGTTGTAATAGAATCCGTACTTGCTAGAGCCGCTAGGTTTTCTTCGGAGATGCTCACATTCACGTACAGAGGATTATTTTCAATAAGCCACTGTAGCGCACAGCGTATTAAGTGAGGACGAACTCTAAAGAAAGAAACCCCTTTACTATTGGTGGACCGAAGCAAAACAACACCAGCTTTGCTAAGTGGTCTGTGCAGAGATTTTGTGAGCTTGCCCACGTCATTCCAATAATTAATGGCGTTGCCGCGGGTAAACTCTTGTTGGTCTTGGTAAAGGTTCATGCATGTTGTGAATGATATTCCTAGTCCAATTAACCTCGCTTCAATACAATTCAGCGTTGCTAACTCGGGTGGCACAAGTGCTAGCCGGAAACCACTCGCCCGACTAAACTTCGGAACGTTGTGCTTAAGCAGTGAAGAATTGCATCTGCTACAGAGCCAGATAAACCGAGTTCCTTTACTATTTGGTTTCGTAATTGCCTCAGATATAACTTCGCATTCATTATCAACATTTCGGAGAAGGGCCAGAAATGGCATCTCGGGTTCAAATTTCTTTTTAACAGAGCTAGTTCGTTTAGTAAGTTCTCCACAGCTTCCACATATCTTTAGCATCGGTTCGTCGATGTCGGCAAAAAAAACTCTGTATTCATCGTACACATTATTGGTTAGTATTGTATTATCGACCTCAATTCTTCGCCACTACTTACCATGGGCATCAGCTACCTGGTTTGACCGCACTTGAGCCCAGTCCGCACCCCGTTTCACTCTTTTACGAGTTCCTGACCAATTCTGCGAGCTCGAATTTCGCTTCTGCGTTTCCTCGACACGCGCTTTCCGGGTGGCTGCTTCCAGAGTTTCAATTTCTTCAAGACTCTGTGTTTTCTTCGCGCGGTGGTGCTTGTGGTAGCTCTGGTCATATTTGTTTAGGCGTCTGACGGCCTTCCGAGCTGCCTTTGTAGCCTTCGTCTTCTTTGCCCGAGCCATATTCTTGAATGCCATTCTGGAAGAGTTACATGGTTTCTAATAATTTTTGGCTGAAAGCATCTAGGTGATCTTTGTGGCGTGCACAACCACAGCTTCAACAACTTCTACTGCTTCAACAGCCTTAACAACTTCAACAAATAGCTAGAACATCACTGCCGTATTTGTTTCAGACGACGCTTCCATTTTTTAAGCGATCGCTGTACCGGTTTTCAGTACTTGTACTCGTGTAGCTCCCGGCTGCATCAATGGCAATTCCAAACACTAAGACAGCATCAGCCCGGACTAAATAAACAACACGGTACATTAGCCTACAGAACAGCTAAACAAAGCTCGATCTCACAGCTTTCAGTGTTGAGCATTTTTTTCTAAGCACCCTTGGCAAAAAGTCAGTCAAAGATCCCATCACTTCCTCATCTATCCATGTACGCACAAGACGTACCACGTCGTGGCTGCTGCGGTAGGACATTCCGTTGTAAGTTACAGTTGCTATATACATTCGCAGCTCACGCACATCGCCAGATCTGTGCGACGCACGCACAGTCACTTCGTCGGTCCGACCAGTGGTCTGCGACTACTAGTAAAACCAAAGTCTTGTTCTACCACGTCCCACTTCAGCGAAGCCTACCGAACATTACTGGTGACCCCCACATTTGAGGTGTTACTGGATCGATAATCCTGGTGATCTTCTTACTGTATCCTGCACTCCTTAACTGACAGCATGGTTACAGACTCAACTATGTGTTTTTTTTTTTTTGGTAAGCCCTTCAAACCGTAGTGGAGTCTATAGTCCTGCTCGTTTATGATAAAACTCCTTTGGCAAAGCGAGAACACAACGTACACACAGCTAAGCTTTGCATATTCATCTGTCTAACGCCTCATATTAGCAGAACGTGGGGCTGAAAAATGTAGATTTTTGTATGAAGACGCCAATATAACACGACGTATATACACTACAACTTCCAATTACATAGGAATGTAGCCTTTGCAGGTTGTGGATCCGCACATGCACCGCCTTGCCTAGATAACAACGTTAGTTTTATTATAGAGGCTACTACAATACAAAAAAACGTACCTCCAGCTTAGTCAGGGAAGCGCTGTAGAAGAGCGTGATCTCTTCATGGGGGGGCAATAGTTTCAAGAGCAAACAAACCACAGCACGTCTCGCCACCGACCTCCCATAGCTCCAGTTTGCAGTTTGGAGCGCAGCTATGGTTTGCAAATCTGGCTAAAGAGCCTTTCCTTGTTGCGTCAAGTTCTTCTCGGGCATTTAGCTGGACGCCGTAGAAATGCCGAGTTCCCCGTAGCAACTACATCCCATCGCACGTTCAATTAGAAATTTACTATTTGTTCATGCTACGAACGTAGTCGTACCTGTTGTCTTCGCTTGTACTCGTTGTTGTCCATCACTTCGCCTGTGTACTCAATCACAAGCTCTTCACGCTCGATAAACTCATTTGCGAAGAGAACTATCCCCTTTTCAGCAGTTTGCGCCAAGAATAGGGATGCACAGGCAGACCGCTGGAATCGTTGGTTGCTACAATTTCTACCTGTTGTGCAGTTGCCCGTGACGCATTCGATTTGCATCTAACAAACAACGTGTATTGTTAACACTAAACAGGCGGCTTAATATCATTTTTTGCTTCATAAAGGCACGTACGGCACGATTCTCGCAGTCGCCTCCACAAATTTCATTGTCGTCAGTCTTTTCCCTACAAACACAATGCGGAAATTCGTCCTTTCACGAAAAAAAAGGCTATGATTTAGTGGTTTTTATTATATCGAGCACTCACCTCGCACATATGCTTCTCCATTCGACAAATGTACTCATTGCGGGAAATCGGACAATATTCCCCGTACGCTTGCACAACAGTTCTAGTATCTGAAACCTACATAAACCAAATTGTCACCCCACGCATTATCGGGCAAGCTTCACACCAAGCAATCTTACCAGAATATCTGAAAAGCGACTACGCTTGAAGCGAGATGCATCGTCGTCTTCTACAAAGTCATCCATTGATAATTGCACCATTCGTTTTGGTGCCATAGCGATCTTTCGGCTGGTCTGCCAAAGAGAAAGTGAGCTAGTTTCGAAAACAAACTACAAATTTTGCCCAATCTTCACTCGCATGTTTTACTTTTAGCCAAACGCAACGAGAATTTTATTCAAAGTCCAGAATATTATGAGATCTTACGTAAATGAATGCTAGACGTGGAAAGGAAAACAGGTACACACTCTCGAAGCCTATCTGAACTAATGAACTTCTTTCGTCAGCCTCTGCCGCTCTCGCAAATGCCACGGTACCACCCGTAGCCTACAACATATCCTCAAATTCGTCGTCAACCTCTTCTCTTTCTTTCTGCTCTTCGTCACCCGGGTTGGGATTATCTTCTTCGTTGTTGTCAAGGCGTGCCCGCTTCGCCGACTCAAAGTTGCCAAACTCCACGATGATGTCCGGCGTCGGCGAACCGACAGCCTGAACGCTGCCTTGGAGAACGTTGTGGTAGAACTTCACTCCGTGGATTTTCTTGACCTCATACACGGCGCCAGCTAAAAAGCGCGGGTTTAGCAACAGAGCGATTCTTGGAGTCCCAAACGGTGACCTTGAAGACACGAGCATCCTTGCGAAACATGTCTATCTTCATCAGCTTTTGGTGATAGCTTTTGAGATGCGGCTGCATGAAGCCGTCGACGAGCGTAACACGCGTTCCGCGGTTGTTTGGGAGGCGTTCGACTTCCAAAACACACATGATCACAGAGAAAAAATATTCTCCGTCGGAACCTCCGTCTTCACGAAATCGCGTAGGTGTCCCAGGGAGACAAAGAGGTTGGTCTCTTTTTCCGTCTGTTGTTGGCGTAGCTCTTCATCAACTTCGGCCAGCAAGGCCTCCGCACTGTAGTCAGTTTGACCGCGTGGTGCCATCCTCAACGCTGTTATTGCTTCTCTGAGCAAATTGGAAAGTGAGGCAACAAATTATCACTCAGCCAGCACATTTTTTTCTCGTGAGGGGTTTCAGTAGACCAATCGTCGCTTTCGTACTAAACCCACGGCAGCCTTCTTCAAGTGAGGTCGCCAACGCCGACATCTCTTGATGAATTTTGGTGATGCGTCACCCTTCCAGAAATCTAAGGTATCTCGTGCGTTCTAAGAAAAATACTCGCAAATTCATAAATTAACGTCGTGAACACCGCAGCACTAGCCAACCCTACTGATTCTCATCGTCTAGCAGGTAATACGACCAAGTAGACATCTCAAGCCCAGCCAAAACCACCTCGTACTGTCATAGAATTTAGTACGGCGACGCTAATAAACGCACACGTCCGTCTACCGCTCATAACAGTCAGCTAACTGAAAATTGATCTTCCATATCCACAGTGGATTACAGTACGTCAAACGTTCTTTCAGACGCAGCAAGGCGCGTGATAGCCCACTCTGACGTACACGATCCTTTGCACCTACCCATTTAAGCATCGTTAACGTTCAGCTGGAGACTCCTGCTGCGGCTTAATTCTTAGCAGAGCAACACCAGCAACTTCAACATCAACTCGTGACCAGTCAATCTCACACAAATTCGACGTATTTTTTTAATGCTATCCGATACAACTTTTTCTCATTTACATTTACAGTCAATGCGTCCTCACGCAAATGTATTGGTGATAAGACAGAGTACATACAACTAAGAACGAATACATGTTGATTGATTTTATAGTTTTTAAGAGCATTCCCGTCCACCACAACCGGTATAGCTGCCTTTGCACGACCTTAGTTGAAGGCAAAACAGGTTGACTTAAACAAAACAAAAACTTAGGCGGTCCTCCGCTCCGTATCGTCCTGGCAGCAATGGTCCGATTCTCCTCGCCCCGTCGGCAGCCCACCTGCTATAGCTCGTTCTTGCAGCGACGGTCCCAGCTGCTGCCCATTCAGACATCGGCGATCCTCTGCTACTGCCCGTCCTGGCGACGATGGTCCAGTTCTGCTCGCCCCGTCGGCAGCCCCCTGCTACAGCTCATCCTGTCAGCGACGGTCCCAAGCTGCTGCTCTCCCAGTCGTCGGCGCCACATCGACAGCACCCAGACACAGCCCCATGCTCCCAGGGCTCTTCCTTCTTCTCCGTCGCTTGAGAGAGTTTCACGTCTGGAGAGGCGACTCTTCAGCACAACCTTACTTCTTACAAGCTCGACTTCTTACCAGCTTTATAAGAGATAACAGGTATTTATCCCTTAATAAAGGGTCGTTAGAACTTTGGAAATGAGCATAAAAATTGACTTTTTACGACATTTCCTAGACTCCCGATAGTGAAGGGTCATTTTCCTGTTTCATAAAAACCGACCCTACCTTTTAGTGACCGTTCAAGGTAATGACTCCGATAGAATACTTAATCGAAGAGCTCAATTTTACCTTGCGATAATAACATCAATGTTCTTAAACCAAGGTTTTTTTTCGCAAGATTTGGTCCCAGTGTACATGATCTTAAATTGAACCCCTAACCCATTCCAGGAACTAATAGATACACATGTAAAAAGTAAATAAGAGCTTATATAGCAGTTGTAAAAACACACTAAATCAAGGTATCACATCATTATAGGGGGGACTTCGTCCCCAAAAATTTACGGTAGATATGCAAAAAAACGCAAATAAAAAAGAAAATTACAAAACAGAATTTTAAAAACTTGCGAGTCTGCACGTCACGTATGCTTCTTGAATAGCTGGTAGTTCAGAGGGAGGGAAACTAGTTATATTCACTTGCCGTGTTTTTCCTTATAAATATGTAGGTGGCTTCATGGCTGATACTAGCAGCACTTGCAATGCCAACACATTCATGTAGCAGTACTAGTATAATGAGCGCTATTATATGATAAGTGGTACTACCAGCAGAATGCTGGCTTGAGTTTTCATTTTTTTTTAAAAATAAACTGAGACCCTACCAATTTGTGGCAATCTCAAAGTATTATACAACGTTTCTATAATGTACATTACCTGAGGCTCTCCGCCATTGTCCTCCTTGTAATACGTACGTCGCTGAAGCTAAGTGACTGAGCTTGGAGTGCATCAAGATCGCCCGTTTGCGGTAATAGGTGACTGCAATAAAAACTACCAGCTTCAGCGGCTTGAGTTCGTATCTCTACAATACAAGTAACGAAATCAAATGAGGTGTTCAGTGCTATTCTGTTATAAAGGAATCTCTTATTCTCATTTCCCATGCTAGATATACACAACTTTTATCACTTCATTATGAACTCTGTAATTCGAACATGTAGGAATACTTACATACTAGTGTTTACCCACACTATCTTACACGTACGCCAGCAGCAATGAGATGAAGGTGCGCAGATTCAGCCCGACGCGAATCGAGACAAATTACTGATGTATTCTGAAGGCAAAAAATCCAGCCTATTACTGTAATACATGTACTGCTCACCACCATAGCGATTGCGGCTAGTTTTTCTAGTCGCCGCATGGTCAGTGCGGCTTGCCATCAACACGGCACCACCAGACAATGTCGCTGCCGCTTTTTGCTTATTTTTGGTCTGCATGCGCTAGCCCGTCCTACTTTTCAGGACTGTTATCCCGAGTTTAGGATCATAAGGGCGTATTCGCAGAAGTTGCGTAAAACGTTACTGAATTTAGTTTTATGTCAAACACAAACTCGTGCGATATTTTCGATGATGGCAACTCGCTTTATTTTTCGGCGCCAGAGTAAGCCCTACACCTAGGTTGATGATGGCGCTGTTGCCTTATTTCTGGCATCAACTTGCCACATCTAACGACTAACAGACTCTGGCTTGAAACTGAAGTTTCCATGCCAGAAATGAGCCCATCTCGCCACGCATTACCGCCAAAAACGTCAATTCGCCTAGCGATACACCCGCAAACAGCTGTGACTTGCTTATGGCCACATCAACATGTCCAAGCAGCACCGTTTACCCGCTCTACGCTAACATCATCAATTGCCCCCGTACAATGCTGCACACGCTGTGTCTGTTCGTCCACCCCCTCGTTTGACAGTTCCTCTCCGCTGCCAGTCTCACTCACTTTCCATTCTTCTGCTCAGCACCCAAGCAGCTCAGCAGCACTCGACATGGAACTCTCGACACAGCCGTCGCCGACCACGGCCAAGAAGCTCGGCCTTGAGTCCGGCCAGGCCCTCATGGCCGAGGGTCCGCAGGTCCTGCACGAGTATGTGGCCTCCAAGATTGGCGCCGCTATGGGCCGCGCCATGCCACAGATGGACGTTCGCTTCAGCAACCTGTCAGTCAGCGCCGACATCGTGGTGGTGGACGACCCGGGTGTCAAGCACGAGCTGCCGACCATCCCGAACACCATGAAGAAGGCGTTTGTAGGCCCCAAGAAGCGCGTCGTGCGCAAGCAGATCCTCAAGGACGTGAGCGGTATGTTCGCTCCTGGCAAAATCACACTACTACTAGGTCAGCCTGGCTCCGGCAAGTCGTCGCTGCTCAAGATGCTGAGCGGCCGCTTCCCTATCGAGAAGAACATCACAGTGGAGGGCGACATCACCTTCAACAACGTCCAGCGCGAACAGATCATCAAGCGTCTGCCACAGTTCGTGGCCTACGTGAACCAGCGTGACAAGCACTTCCCCATGCTCACGGTCAAGGAGACGCTCGAGTTCGCGCACAAGTTCTGCGGCGGCGAGCTGTCCAAGCGCGGCGAGGAGATGCTGTCCAAGGGGTCCCCACAGGAGAACCTGGAGGCGCTCGAGGCGGCCAAGGCCGTGTTCGCCCACTACCCGGACATTATCATTCAGCAGCTAGGCCTTCAGAACTGTCAGAACACCATCGTCGGTGACGCCATGACCCGCGGCGTCTCCGGTGGCGAGCGCAAGCGTGTGACGACTGGAGAGATGGAGTTCGGCACCAAGTACGTGACGCTCATGGACGAGATCAGTACGGGTCTCGACAGTGCGGCCACGTACGATATCATCAACACACAGCGCAGTGTGGCCCACACGCTCCGTAAGACGGTGGTGGTGGCTCTACTGCAGCCGTCGCCGGAGGTGTTCGCGCTGTTCGACGACGTCATGATCCTGAACGAGGGCCAAGTCATGTACCACGGCCCGTGCCGTCGCGTGGAGAACTACTTCGAGGGTCTGGGCTTCTCGTGTCCGCCTGAACGCGACATTGCCGACTACTTGCTGGATCTGGGCACGCCTGAGCAGTACCGCTACCAGGTGCAGAACTACCACACGAAACAGCCGCGCAGTGCCGGTGAGTTCGCAGAGTCTTTCCGGCGCTCGGACGTCCATCGGGAGATGCTCAACGAGCTGGAGGCACCGCACGAAGAGGACCTGCTACGCAACGTGGCCGAAGTGATGGAGCCTACGCCGGCGTTCCACCAGTCGTTCGTCGAGAGCACGTTGACGCTGCTCCAGCGCCAGCTCATGGTGACGTACCGTAACAAGCCCTTCATCTTCGGCCGTCTGCTCATGATCTTCATCATGGGTCTGCTCTTCTGCACGGTCTTCTACGACTTCGACCCGACGCAGGTTTCTGTGGTCATGGGTGTCATCTTCGCCACCGTCATGTTCCTGTCCATGGGTCAGTCGTCGCAGATCCCCACGTACATGGCGGAGCGCGACGTCTTCTACAAGCAGCGCGGCGCCAACTTCTTCCGCACCGGCTCGTACGTGCTGGCCACGTCGGCCAGTCAGATCCCGTTGGCTATCGTCGAGACGCTCATCTTCGGCTCACTAGTCTACTGGATCTGCGGGTTCGTGTCGGAGGCCAAGCTGTTCCTCATCTTCGAGTTCATCCTGCTGCTGTCGAACCTGGCCATGGGCATGTGGTTCTTCTTCCTGTCGGCCATCGGCCGCAACGGTGACATCGCCACGCCTCTGGGTATGGTGTCGGTGCTGGTGTTCGTCATCTTCGCTGGTTTCATCGTGACCAAGAGCCAGATCCCGGACTACCTCATCTGGGCTCACTGGATCAGCCCCATGACGTGGAGTCTCAAGGCGCTGGCCATCAACCAGTACCGCTCGGGCCCGATGGACGTGTGCGTGTACGACGGCGTGGACTACTGCTCAGAGTACGGCCTCAAGATGGGTGAGTACTATCTGGGTCTCTTCGGTATGGACACGGAGAAGGAGTGGATCGTGTACGGCGTCATCTACACGGCGGCCATGTACGTGGTCTTCATGTTCCTGTCGTACTTGGCTCTGGAGTTCATCCGCTACGAAGTGCCTGAGAACGTGGACGTGTCGGAGAAGACGGTGGAGGACGAGTCGTACGCGATGCTGCAGACTCCCAAGACGAAGAACGGAGCCAACACGGTGGACGACTACGTGGTTGAGATGGACACGCGCGAGAAGAACTTCACCCCCGTGACGGTGGCGTTCCAGGACTTGTGGTACTCGGTGCCGGACCCGCACAACCCGAAGGAGTCGCTGGACTTGCTCAAGGGCATCAACGGTTTTGCCGTACCCGGGTCGATCACTGCTCTCATGGGATCTTCGGGTGCTGGAAAGACCACATTGATGGATGTGATTGCTGGCCGTAAGACTGGCGGCAAGATCACCGGCAAGATCCTGTTGAACGGCTACGAGGCGACCGACCTCGCTATCCGTCGCTGCACGGGTTACTGCGAGCAGATGGACGTGCACTCGGAGGCTGCTACCATTCGTGAAGCTTTAACCTTCAGCTCTTTCCTGCGTCAAGACGCGTCGATCCCGGACGCCAAAAAGTACGACGCAGTGAACGAAGCCATCGAGCTGCTCGGCCTGGAAGACATCGCCGACCAGATCATCCGTGGCAGCTCAGTTGAACAGATGAAGCGTCTGACGATCGGCGTGGAGCTGGCTGCTCAGCCGAGTGTGATTTTCCTGGACGAACCGACGAGTGGCCTGGACGCTCGCTCTGCTAAGTTGATCATGGACGGCGTTCGCAAGGTGGCCGACTCGGGCCGTACCATTATCTGTACGATCCACCAGCCGTCGTCCGAAGTGTTCTACCTGTTCGACAGTCTGCTTCTACTCAAGCGTGGTGGTGAGACGGTATTCTACGGTAACCTGGGCAAGAACTGCCGCAACCTGGTCGACTACTTTGAGAGCATCCCCAGTGTGGCCCCGCTGCCAAAGGGCTACAACCCGGCCACGTGGATGCTCGAGTGCATTGGTGCTGGTGTGGGCAACTCGGCCGGTAACCAGACCAACTTCGTGGACTACTTCAACAAGAGTTCGTACCGCCAGGTGCTCGACAGCGAGATGGCCAAGGAAGGAGTGACCGTCCCGTCGCCCGACCTGCCCGAGATGGTGTTCGCCAAGAAGCGCGCGGCCACGTCGGCCACGCAGATGAAGTTTGTGGTCACCCGTTTCTTCCAGATGTACTGGCGCACGCCGACGTACAACCTGACCCGTATGATCCTGGCCATCTTCCTGGCGCTGCTGTTTGGTATCGTGTTCGTGGACGCGTCGTACGCGTCGTACTCTGGCCTGAACTCGGGTGTGGGTATGGTGTACATGGCATCGCTGTTCCTGTCCATGACTGCGTTCCAGAGTGTGTTGCCCCTCGCCAGCTCCGAGCGCGCCTCGTTCTACCGTGAGCGCGCGTCGCAGACGTACAACGCCTTCTGGTACTTCCTGGGCTCGACGCTGGCCGAGATTCCGTACTGCTTCGTGGTCGGCGCTCTCTTCACGGTGGTGTTCTACCCGATGGTGGGCTTCACGGACGTGGGCGTGGCCTTCATCTTCTGGCTGGCCACTTCTCTCAGTGTGCTCATGCAGGTGTATATGGGTCAGATGTTCGCGTACGCGATGCCAAGCGAAGAAGTGGCGGCCATCATCGGACTTTTGTTCAACGCTATTTTCATGACATTTATGGGCTTCAGTCCTCCGGCCTACGCGATCCCGTCGGGCTACACGTGGCTGTACAAGATCTCGCCGCTGCGCTTCCCCGTGTCCATCCTGGTGGCTCTTATCTTCTCGGACTGCGACGAGCTGCCGACGTGGGACGAAGCCACGCAGTCGTACACGAACGTGGGCTCGAAGTTGGGCTGCCAGCCGATGGCGGACTCGCCCGTGACCGTGGGCCACATCACCATCAAGGAGTACACGGAGGAGTACTTCGGCATGGAGCACAGCACGATCACGCGCTACTTCTTCGTGATCATCGGCTTCATCGTGGCGTTCCGCGTGCTGGCGCTGATCTCGCTGCGCTACATCAACCACCAGAAGCGGTAGATCGGTACGATAGAATAGGGCGTCGATCTCTTGGATCGACTGCGCTCCTTGTACATTCAACCCATTGAAAACAAATAAAATACATAAGATTCATTTGATTTGCACCAGGAAAATCAATCCCATTTTTGCTTTAAAAGCGTTAATTCAGTGTGGAGCAGGACCTGCACTGTGTGCAGTGCACTGTAGGTGCGTCTATTACATTAAGCCTTGACCTATGATTACGATAAACTGGGCGGCCACCTTCTACCATGACTGAAATCGTTTCCGTCGTCGCCTTCTCATTCTGCTGGTTCGAAACATCAGCCTTCACGGGGGTCACTCTCCGAAGGATACGTGATTCCTTTCGTTGACCAAGTCCGGGGTTAGATTCGTGCGCTCTCGTAACCAGGTGGCTTGGCTGCTTGCGGTTCGCGTCGTAGCATCCGCGACATGGGACAGAGGACGCTTGAAAAGGAGGTCGGGGCACCATTTCGAACAGTCCCACTGAGCATCTTGACTTACTCAATGGCCTATAAAGACGTCATTTAAGAATTGTTTAATCTAAACAAATTAACTCTTGAATGCTCGAGCGATTAATTAATTGTAAAACAATTTATAATAAAACTCCTGGCGAATAGAGATGTCATTTCAGAATTTTTAAATTTAAACAAGTTAACTCTTGAATGCACTCAATTCATTCAGAAGATTTAATTAATTGTAAAACAATTTTTAATAATAACAAGCGCAAGCCTTAGAAAACAAAATTCAATAAAAATTAAACAACTTAATATTAAAATTATACAAATTAGTTTAGATCTTTTAGACATTTAAGAAATTAAAAATTGAAATTTAGGACATTTAAAAAGTTGTAAAACAATAAATAAAAAATTGAAAATAAAACCTAAAAACTCATATTTAATAAAAATTATACTTACTTCATCTGAAATTAAACCAAGAAATATGAAAATATAGTTGGAGCCGAGTAAGATATTTTAATCACTGATTATTTTATCCACCTGTTTAAGAAAATGAATATTGTGTCTGGTTGAGAAAATTACGCTAATTTTAAAATATTGATTTTAGAATAAAGTTAGAATATTATTTCGGAAATACGCTATTGTAATTAAAACCAATCTTAATTTAATTACAATTGAAAACAAAATAATAAATCTCTTATTATTTTAAACACAAGTTGAATTGATTATTGGTAAATGCACTTTTGAGTTTTGAAAGACACTAACGCATAAGCTGGTAGTTGGATAGCAACTAGTGACGCTTCATCTACATTCCTCTTACATTGAAAATACGTACAGTATAACATTTTCGCAGTGCTTTATGCATACAAAATGCACGCATATATCATAGCCGGGCTAATATGTTTATTCCACTAATTTTGGTCAAGTACCAAATTATTGATCAGCCCTGTATTGCAATGCATAAGAATAAATATACACTTACTTTCTAAACGGAAATATAACATCTTATTAAAAATAACATGTTGTAGTTTTCGAACCTCTGGCAATTGTTGATGCTACTAGACTGCTCACAAACACAATGGCAGGTATGGGACTTCAATGATATACACCACTCGTCTCCGTTCTGGCTTAAAATCCAAGGTACCAGGTGGGTTTCGAATGCCGACTGAAGGGATTCGAAATATCTTGTACCTGTTCATTGCTCCGTAGGTAAAATAAAAACTGTTAGGTTGCAACCTCCACGGAAGCTATTTATGAAATTAATTTTGTTTCAATGAAGCATACATGTATGAAGGAGGAAGTTATGCCCTTACCAACGAGGGCTGGTAAACCAGCCCTCTACCTCTTCTGGTGGTTGACGAAGCGCAGCGCCAGCAGTCCCCACAGTCGGAAGAGAACAATGTAACCGATTACGATCACGAAGTTCTGAGCGATTTCGTCGTGCTTGAATCCAAAGTACGACTCTGTGTACTCCTTCAACGTCGTGTGGCCGATCGTCGCCGGAGCGTTGGCCATCGGTTGGCAACCAAGATCCGAGCCGACGTTGATGTACGACTGAGTTGCTTCATCCCAAGTCGGCAGCGTCTCGCACTTAGTGAAGACCAGAGCCACCAGGATACTCATGGGGAACTTCTGCGGCGAGATCGTGTACAGCCACTGGTAGCCTTGCGGAATGGATGATGCCGGCGGGTTGTAGCCCATAAACATCATGAAGATACCGTTAAAGAGCATACCTATGATCGCTGCCACTTCCTCGGTCGGCATGGCGTACGTGAAGAACTGGCCAAGAGAAACTTGCATGAAGACGGTCAGCGAGATGGCCACCCAGAAGAGAACGCCGGTCATGAATTCCGTGAAACCGGCAAGAGGATACAGGACGACGGTGAAGAGAAGGCCACTCGCAAAGCACCACGGGATCTCCACCAACGTCGCTCCAAACCAGTACCAGAAAGCGTTGTACGTCTGAGATGCTCGCTCACGGTAGAACGATGGACGCTCCGAACTCGTAAGCGGAATCACACTGTTGAACGCCATCATGGACAGGAACAGCGCAGCCATGAACACCATGCCGACACCCGAGCTCAGACCAGCATATGAAGCGTAGTTCGGGTTGATGAAGACAATACCGAAGATCAGAGCCAGGAACAGCGACATGATCAGACGGGTGAGCGAATAGCTCGGGGTACGCCAGTACAACTGGAAGAAACGGGTCACCACGAACTTCATCTGCGTGGCTGAGTTAGCAGCACGCTTCTTGTCAAACAAAATCTCCGGTAGATCGGGCGAAGGAACCGTGATGCCTTCCTTGGCCATGTTCGCTTTAAGTTGTTCGCTGTACGAGCTCCTGTTGAAGTAGTCCACGAAGTCCATTTCGTCAGCAGCCGAGTTGTTCACACCAGCACCGATACACTCGAGCATCCACGTGGCCGGGTTATAGTTTTCTGGTAGCGGGGCCACGCCAGGGATTCCCTCAAAGTAGTCAATCAGGTTGCGGCACTTCTTGCCCAGGTTACCGTAGAACACCGTCTCGCCACCACGCTTGAGCAACAACAAACTGTCGAACAGGTAGAACACTTCGGACGACGGCTGGTGGATCGTACAGATAATGGTACGGCCCGAGTCGGCCACCTTGCGAACGCCGTCCATGATCAACTTAGCAGAGCGAGCGTCCAGGCCACTCGTCGGTTCGTCCAGGAAAATCACACTCGGCTGAGCAGCCAGCTCCACGCCGATCGTCAGACGCTTCATCTGTTCAACTGAGCTGCCACGGATGATCTGGTCAGCGATGTCTTCCAGGCCGAGCAGCTCGATGGCTTCGTTCACTGCGTCGTACTTTTTGGCATCCGAGATCGAGGCGTCTTGACGCAGGAAAGAGCTGAAGGTTAAAGCTTCACGAATGGTAGCAGCCTCCGAGTGCACGTCCATTTGCTCACAGTAGCCCGTGCAGCGACGAATAGCGAGGTCGGTCGCCTCGTAGCCGTTCAACAGGATCTTGCCGGTGATCTTGCCGCCAGTCTTACGGCCAGCAATCACATCCATCAAAGTAGTTTTACCGGCACCCGACGATCCCATGAGAGCAGTGATCGATCCAGGGACAGCGAATCCGTTGATGCCCTTCAGCAGCTCGAGCTGTTCTCCCTTCGGGTTCTTGGGATCAGGGACCCAGTAGTGCAGGTCTTGGAAGGCCACCGTCACCGGCGCAAAGTTTTTCTCTTGCGTGTTCACCTGAACCTCCACCACATCACTTTGAGTTGAGCTTTTAGGAGTTTGAAGCAGCGCGTACGAACCGTCATCCATTGACTTGTCCGACACGTCCACATTAGTCGGGGCTTCGTAGCGAAGATACTCGAGTGCGAGAACAGACAGGAACATGAACACAACGTAGATACCCGCTAGGAAGATGACGCCGTACCATACCCACTCCTTACCCGTGTCGAGACCGAACAGGTTCAGATAGTACTCGCCCATA